GCCGCAGAGTGGTGGGACAACCGGGTGGGCAAGCGCAACCCCAAGGCGCCAGACTTCAAGAAGAAGGTCGGCGGCAGCGACGGTGAGGCGGCAGCGACGGTGCCTTCCCCCGCCCTGTGTGGAGCCCTGTGTGGAGCGCTGGGCAGCGGGGACCCCCTGGGTGGCGTGCCGGACCCCGCCTGCCTGCCTGCGCCTGCGCTGCCGCCCGCCCGCCGCGCCTGCGCTGCCGCACGCGCCCTCCCGCATCCGGCCCGCCTGCTCACACCCCCGCCGGCCCTGCTTCCTGCGCCCTGCCTGCCCGCGGCACAGCCCCCGCGCTGTGGGTGGAGGGGCGCAACACCCCCGGCTGGGTCAAGGCCGAGCTGGAGCGGCTGGACGCTCTGGGCCGGTGATGCAGGGCAGGGCGGGCCTGGGCGGCGGGCCGATTGTGTCACGCCCGTGGTTCCGAGGCCGCTGGCAGAGCCCAGCACGGCACAGATGCGGCGGCTGCCGGGCACCTGGCGTGCGTGGCTGCATGCTGCAGCAGTTGCTCTACATTGTAACATATGACCCTTCCCCTCGCCTGTGCTGCCTGGGCGCCGGTCATGTTGCTGTCGCTGCCCTCCCATGCTCCCGCTGCCTTGCGGCGGCACGGTGGCAATGTAACAGGAGCAACCAAGCAGGCAGGTCACAATCAATCACGCGAATCCATTGGGGACAGATACTAAGGGGTACAGAGGGGCAGCCGCGAGCGCTGCAAATGAAACAACCGAGCTAAGGAGATTGGAAGGGGAGGCGGTGGGGCGCTGTTCTCAAACAAAAGGTCGGGTGCAAAGCAGTGTGGTCTGGTGGTATGGCTGGGTCATGAGAGGTGGGGTGGCGGCCGGGGGGCGCGCGGCATGCAGACAGTATGACATGAATGTGGCATGAGTGGGGGGGGGGGGGGGTGCTCAGGCTGGAAAACAGGGCGGCTCAGTCGTTAAGTCTAAAAAATACCGAGGTGGCACGTAGGGGAAGGGACTGTGCGTTTGGGGAGGGAGGTCAAAAACGTGCGGGCCTGGCACTGGCGCCAGCCAGCAACGAGGGGCCAAGAGGGCGTCGGCAGTGGGTCAGAAAGCAGCGGGTCAGAAAGCAACGCGGGCGCCGCTGCGGCGGCGTCTCCCCAGCTCCGGATCGCACAGGGGGCATGCACGGGGGTCACGAGGTCATCTAGAGGCCCCATCCATTGATTAGGAGTGTGTCCATCTATTGAAAAGCGGTTCTCTGGGTATCAACTTCGGCACCTATCAGCTGCGGCACCTGCACATCCAAGCGCCGTCGGAGGCGCATGATGCAGACTTGCGCGTCGCTATCACGCACGGCGCTCGCTCACTTGGGCGGCTTGGCGGCGTTGCGCAGCCAGCTGGCGGCACCCGGCGCGGTCGCAGGCGAGGCCGCCGCCGTTGCCGCGGCCGCGCGTGCTGGCCAGCCGGCGTGCGGCGCTGCTGTGGCTGGCTGGGGCGTGGAGGAGGAAGCGAGGGCCACCGGGGTGCCGTCCACAGATAAGGTCAGCTCCTGCAGCGGGTGCCGCAGGTGCGGAGGCAGCTGGCGGCGCTGGTGCTCGGGCGAGGGCACGCGGGCGCGCTTGTGGGTGGCAGGCTTGGCCCCGCCAGACCCCGAGGCGGATGGAGAGACTGCAGGGGGCGGGCAAGGGCAGTGGTGGAAGGGGGAGGAGTGAGGCATGCACGGGGTGCACTGCATCGCTGTCTCCCCTCCAACATACCCTCAGGCAGCATGCGGCTTGGCAGCCCAGCAGCACGGGGCTGCTGTGTGACGGCCACGCCCGCCACGCCACACAGCAGGGCAAGGCGGCGGCGGCGGCGGCAGCGCCCGGACGGCGCCTGGCTCCTCACCCGAGGCTCGCTGCTGCATGGCCGCCACCGCCCGCGCGTCCGGCCTCAGCGTCACAAACCGCCCGCCCAGCTGCGCCGCCCTGCAGCGGCACGTGTGTGGGGGGGGTAAGACACTCCACCTCAGCACTCAGACCTCGCGCGCCAGCTGGCCGGCAAGCGGCCTGGGTGGTGCCAAGGAGGGGGGCAGGCCGCGGGGCAGCCAAGCGGCGCCTGGCGCCTGGCCCCGCACCTGATGGCGGCGGGGCGGAAGGCGTTGAAGACAGGCACCAGGCTGCGCTGCGCTGCCGCTGCCTGTGGCCGGCTCTCCTGGGAGCTCGACTTGGAGGGTGCGGCTGCAGGGGTGGGGTGGGGTGTGTGCACGTATGCGGGTTAGGTGTGGCGTGGTGGTGACTGAGTGTGCCTCGGTGGGCGGGCCATTGGGCGGGTGGAGGGGGGGGGGTAAGCTGCCGCCTTTGCATTGGCGGTTCACGCCACCAAGGCATGCTGCCACCGCAGGCGCAGGTGCTGGCAGGATGGGCGCACCCGGGAACAAGGGCGTCGCGATGTGCTGGGCGGGCGTCTGGCCCACCGCCAGCTGGGCGCCTGCAGGGGTAATTGGGTGGGTGGGGGTGGGGGATGGGGGGTCCGCTCAATAGCGATCCCGCACATGGGCACATACATGCCAGCGTGAGGGCAGGGCACTGAAGCGCAGGTGATACAACGGGGCGGCGGCGGAAGCCGGTGTCTTGCCGCGTCAGGCCGCTCCCTTGCAGGCGGCACCCACCGTCGGAGCTGGATGGCGGGCTGCTGGGCTGCTCGTCCATCTGCTCCTCCCCTGGGCTGCCTGCCGCATGGCGCTGCTGCTGCTGCTGCGGGTCCGGCTGCTCCGCGGTGCACGGCCCAGTGGCGAGCGGCGGCAGCGGGCCCAGCCGCACCAGCGCGACGTCGGCGGGGACGCACAGGTTGCAGTGCCTGTTGCTGCCCCACTCGCGGCACACGAACGCCTTTCTGCGGCAGGGACCAGTGGAAGGCCCAGGCGGGGCGTGAGGGGCTTCGCAGGGCCTTCCCGCCGAAGTGGGTCCTGCCATGTGGGAGTGGACCCCACTTGCTTGAAACTCACGGCCCTGCAGCCGCGCACCTGCCGTTCAGGTCCCGGAGCACCGCGGGCTCATTGTGAAGGCAGACAGGGACGTCGCCTTGCGGTGCAGGGGAGGCGGGGGAGGGGAGGGGGGCATGCCCCTCCATGCTGAGTGATCGAGCACGGGGGGGAGACAGGGGAGCCTCAGGCAATCGGTAATTGCGATGGCATGCAGAGTGGGGATGCTGGCGCCCCAAATGGACGCGGTAAAAATTTGACTGTGCGTGCTGCGCCCGCTGTGGATGACCGATCAGCCCCCTCAAGGCTCACATCCTCCAGAGCCTCGCATATGCGCTATCATGACAGGATCAATACATCACCCGTCACGCAGCCAACCAAGTCATGCTCGAGCTGATGACAGCAAGACAATGGACTCAAGCTCATCCCAAGGGCGCCGCACCAGCGCCGCCTTTGCCGCTGCCGCAGCCGCCGCCGCTGGGAGTGCGCATACAGCTGCACCTGGGCTGCTGCTGCTGCTAGCGGCTTCATCATTCTGCTCCGTCCTCCCTCCAGTGCCGTCCAGAGCGTCCACTTCGTCGGGGCAGCGGGCAGCCGCACCGGCAGCAGGTGGCGCCTGTGCCTCAACTCCTCCGCCGTCGCACGCAGCCCCATCGCCCTGCTGCCCTCCCTGCGTCCCACTCCCGGCATCGCCGCCGCTGCTCGCGCCGCAGCCGCCCAGCAGCCCCATCTCCAGCAGCAGCTCCGCGTAGCGGCTCTGCTCCGATGCCAGCGCCTCGCCGCCGCCCTCCTCGCTGTGGTGCTGCTGCGAGGCGCGCGCCGCGGCCAGCTGGCGCTGGAAGTGCGGCCCTGCCAGCGCGTGCTGCAGCGCACGGTGCTGCAACGACGGCCGCTGTGGCCTGCCGCCGGGGCTGTGGCTGGCGCTGCGAGAGGGGTCGGCGCCCGGCGGCGCTTCTGCCGCCGCCAGCGCCAGCTCTCGCGCTGAGGAGTCGGACAGTGCCGCCGCCGGCACGCCGGCGCCGGCCAGCAGGCCGGGGCGCCAGCCTGATTGCTGCCCCCTGCGGCCTCCCCGCCCCCAGTACAGCTTGGTGCGGAACACCTGCGGCACAACAATGGCGGAAGCGTCGTCCTCCCGAAGCGCTGCCGCATACGCCGCCTCCCGCCACGCCTCGTGCTGCGCCGTGCTGCCCGGCTGCACCGGCGGGGCATGCGTGCCGCGCAGGGCTCGCGCCGCGGTCATGGCCACGCCTGCTGCCCCCTCTGGGCCTGCTTGCGGGCTGGCGCTGCCGGGGGCTGTGCGGGGCTGCTGGGTGAGCTTGGCGCTGTACACAGAGGCCCGCAGGAAGTCGGCCAGCAGGCCCTCCCCCGCCGCTTCCAGGGCCGCCTGCAGGTCCCGCGGGGCGGTGGAGGGTGCCTTGGTGTGCTGCCTGGGCAAGGCAAGGGCGCTGCGCTGGCGCTCTCCCAAGCTCCCCTAAAGAATGCAAGAGAGCAGCGAAGAACCCGCAGGTCGGCTGCGCATGCGGTTGGGCTGCGCGCCACCTCACTCACCAGCGTGTGCTGCAGGCGTGCGCCAGCCAGCCCCACCGCTGCCCCCACCAGCGCCTCTGCGCAGGCCTCGTGCGCGCTGCACAGCTGCCGCACGGCGGCCGCCAGCGGGGCCACCTCCGCCAGCTGCCCCTCGCTGTACTGATGCTCCCAGCGGCTGTGCTGCACTCCGGGGCGGCGGGCTCCTGGCGGGCGGCCCTCTGGCACCGCCTGGCACAGCTGGTCAAACAGCTGCTGCAGCTGCAGCACGGGGGAGGTCCGAGGGTTTGTCGCGCCGCAGTCAAGTGGCGGCAGGCGGCGCCGATGCGGCCGTCGTGCGGCGCCCTCGGACGGCTGGGAGCCGCCGCGACGTGCTTCGGTCGCCATGTGCGGCGGTCCCTTTTGCGAAAGGAGCCTCAGGAGAGCAGAAGTGGCGTCAAAGTTGGCGCATGGACCACATGGCGCCGGCACGGTGACGTGGGTGTTCTGCTCTGCATGCTCTGCAACACGCTTGTATTGCGCAGGGGCATTCAACAGGCTCACTCCGGGGGTGCTGCGTATGCTGTGTTCCTCGCTGGCTGCCCTCATAAATCGCTCAATTGCATCCGTCTGCATGCATTCCACATTGCAACGGACTTCCACGATTTTCAGCAGGCAGCCATGAGGGCACTCGTGAGCGGGCATGGCATCCGTGCAGTGGCGCCCCAGCAAAGAGCTCCACTCCGTCGCCACCCCATCCACAGATGCCCCCGACGCATGGTGGAACGCGCCGCCACGGATCCCGACCGCGACAGAGTGAACGCCAAAGGTGCCGCTCCCCCTCCGCCTCCGCTTTGCCGCCGCCGCTCTGCAGGCCTGGCTGCCGCCGCTGCAGCTGCTCGCCCTGCCTCTTCCTGTCCCTCTCCGCCTGTGCTTTCCCCTTCCCTTTTCACTCTCACGGTTTACCCCTTCCGCCCTGCCCCGCCCCCTCCCGCCCGCAGTGATGGAGCAGGTGGAGGCGAGCGCGCGTGTTGTGGAGGAGCTGATGGCAGAGTGAGTGAGCCGCGGCGCCTGGCATGCCTCCCTGCGGTGGCGGTCCTGTATCCAGCGGCCGCTGGCTGCGCCCCCCACCACACCCGCCCCTCGCCTGTGCCGACCGCAGGGTGTCGCGAGAGGCGTTCATCAACGCCGCCGTGTCGCGCGTCACAGGTGGGGGGCGGGGCCTGGCAGGCGGGGTGGGGGGGCAGCAGGCGGCTGGGGTGTGCATGCAGGGAGTGCGCCAGTTTACGGCAGGCGGTGTGCGGCGCCAGGCGTCGCGGCACGCTCTTGCTGTGCTGCGCCCGCTGTGGCCGTCCGCTGAGGACGGCGCTGCCAGCAAAGCGCCAGCCAGCTGATGGGCAGCGATCCGCAGCCCCCGTCTCTATCATGGCCCGCCTCTTGTCCACCGCACCGCAGAGAGCGAGGCGCCGGAGAGCAGCCTGGCGGACGTGGTGGGCGCGGCGGTGGGGCGCCGCATGGAGGAGCTGGACGCTACCTTTCTTGCCACCCTGGATGGGTACATTCGGGGGGCCAGCGACAAAGGGGCCGCCGACGTGGCAGGTGGGGCTTGGCGGGGCGAAGGAGGAGGGCCAGTGGGGGTGCTGTGAAAAGACGAAAGGCAGGTGGCCGGGTGCCTGAGCGGGCTGCTGGGCAGTGGAGGGAAGCCCGCTGCTGGTGAGGCTGAAGCACAGGTGCGCAGGCAGCTGCGCTGCGCCGTGGGGTGCCTGGATGGAGGCCTGCCCCACCCTGAGCCTCTCTGCTCCCCCGGACTCCCGCAGAGGTGCTGCTGCTGGTGCGGCAGGAGGTGCTGCGGCGGCTGGGCGCCCGCCTGCCTCCCGAGATGCAGCTGCTGGATGCTGCCATGGCGGCTGCCGACAGCAAGGCACGCATGGAGCTGCTGAGGAAGTATGCACTGCCCAGCGAGCAGGCGCTGGCAGAGGCGCTCGCTGGCGGCGAGGGCGAGGCTGGCGGCATACGCGGCAGCCTTGCTAGCGCAGCAGTCAGCAGCAGCCAAGCTGGCAGCGAGGGGCTGGACCGCGCCAGCAGCGCCAGCAGCAGCCGCAGTGCAGAGCAGCAGCCGGAAGGTAGCGGCGCCGTGCCCGTCTCCTTGCTGTACTGCCTGGCTGCCGACCTGGAGCGCGCCGCCTCCCAGGTCATTCGCGACATGGAGCTGATGATGGAGGTGCCGGACAGGTGGGGGGGTAGCTGTTGGCGGGGGCGGGAGGGCTGGCAGCAGGTGGAGGGGCCGCGGTCGAAACAAACTCGGAGGAGATGGGCGGGGAGCAGGAGCAGCAGCCCACGCTCCGCAGGGCACCAGCTGCCTGTGAACCCACCCCCTCCCTGGCCCTCAGTTGCTGGCACACTCACGCACTCACACTGCGTCCATGCGTGCCCTGAGTAGGCGCCTGCTGGCGCGGCTGGTGCTGGCCCGGGAGGAGCTGCAGCAGATGTTGCTGGAGGCGGCGTTCATGGGTGGAGAGGGCAGCGGCGGCGATGATGTGGAGGTGGCAGCCTCCTTTCGCCAGCCCTTCCAGCAGCTAGGGGCGGTGCCCAAGAGCTGTGCCGCCTTCCTGCAGCGGCTCATGGCGCTGCCGGGGCCGCAGGAGCGGTGAGTGGGGTGGCAGGGCAGGCCACTGTGTTGCTGGCTGTTGGAGGGGTTGAGACTGCAATGTTATTGTCCGTTGAGCTGGAGCAGCGCTGCGCAACGTAATTGCTGCCATTATCTTCTGCTCCCTACCGTGTTGCAGGGAGGGGCTGCTGCTGCAGGCGCTGTCTGAGGACGTGGAGCGGCTGCCTGGGGCGGGGCAGCCGGGCCCTGACGCCACCACTCGCGAGCGGTTGCGGGCGCAGGCTGAGGCGCCGCAAGACTGGGTGCGGCCGGGGCGCTTCATGCAGAGCCTCAGTGCTTTGCAGGCGGAGATGCTGGGGCAGGCGGCCAGCGGCAGCGACGGCCAAGTGCCCAACAGCGACGTGCTCGAGCGGCTGGAAAGCATACGACGGGAGGCGTTGGGCGTGTTGCTCGGCATAGCTGGGGAGGGCCAGACAGCTGCGGCGGACAAGGAAGAGGAGGAGGAGGAGCCCTACCTGCCCTGATTTGTAGATGAGCCCCTTTTCTATTGAGGGTCATAGAGCAGGTTGGTCTGCCGGTTGTCTGTGTTACAGTCACCCCGCTATGATCGGCCGCGTGAGCAGACCTTGAACAGGTGGCACACGTGATCAGGGGGCATCTGTCATCGACCGTGTGCAACGTGCACCGCGTTGTAATTGGCAGTCTGTCTGTCTGTCTGTCTGTTACACCCATAAAGAGCAAGTGAATGCTACGGGCCCATTTGCGGTGCCAAACAGCCGTCCTGCTGCCATCTGATTACTCCATTCAGCTCCATCGGGTCAAGCCTAATTGGCTTGGTATCGATGCGGAGCCATACCAATGTTGCATACGGCCAAGTTTGCCAGCGTGATTTGAGCCGGTTGCTTGTAAATTGCTCAGCCTTGAGTGTGCAAAGCAGTCCTGAGCTGGAGATGCAACATGGTGATGGCTGATTTTGGCAGGGGGGACTTGTGGGGAAGGCTGTTGCTGCTTCTTGGGTGTTGGGTAGGCCAACCCTCCTCCCAGCTAGCGTCTAGCTTCCAGGCAGCCCTGCCCCCTCCTCTCCCCAGCCAGAAACACCTCTACCACTCCCTCCCATCCCTCCCAGCACTGCTCCCAAATTGACCTCCAGACCGACAGTCTCCACATCAGACAACACAACCACACCTCCACACCCAATCAGAACGCACTCCCTCGTCAATCCACCGACGCCCGACGACGCACCACACCTCTACACAACACACCTCTACCAAACACCTCTGAAATCACAGCCATCCAACTCTGACAATACACAACAGGGGCCCAGCACATCCATTGGTACCACAGGGGCCCAGAACACACAAAGCGCCATCTCGCCGACCGCCGCCCGACCTCCGACACACCGCCGCCACACACGCCCACACCGACGCCGATAGGTGCCAGACACAAAGTGACAAGTGGAGGTGGAACTCAATGTGGGGGGCCAGGAAACGTGCTCCCAAGGCCTGGACACCTCAACTACTACAAATGCGCTAATGCGAGCCACTCACGCGCTCTCGCGTGGGAACGCTACTGCCAGATATCCACCGTCCCACCCGCGCACACCGTCAACCGAAGCTAGTTCCACAAGTGCAGTTGATGAAATCAATGCTACAGGGCTAGAACCACAACTCTCAATGCTTGCTGTCCACAAGGGGCATGCGAGGGGCCAGTCCAGCATGTCAGCCGTCGCGCTCCAGCGCACGCGTGCGGTACGCACTCCCCGCCAAGCCACCGCACTACCGAACAGCGGGTGCCCAGCCAGCTCCCTACATGCACATGGTGGCAGAGGGCCAGGATGGGGCTGGGAACACACACAGGGGGGCTCAGCATGGCCCAGCAGGGCAGGCGGCACGTGCGCACCGCCCAGGCGGTGCAGGCGTACCGCACATGTACCGCGCACGGAGCAGGCGCACCACACCCACCTCTTCCATCATCTCAATCTTGACAGCTCCCTCATCTTAGTGACCCTGGCACTTGGGCTGCATGCCTCCACCTCTGGGCCCTGCAAAACACAGCTGCGCCGCGCAGCGCCACGTCAGCGCCACGTCAGCGCCGCCGACGCCGTGCGCCCGAGGCACGACAGCGCCACCCGGTGCCCAACTGTCTTTGCACTCTTCCCTCTTGTCTTTGCCATGCTGCCAGCTATCACACAGCAGCATCTGCAGAATCAGCAGCACCAATGCCCAAAGAATGAAATGCAGGTATGAACAGTGGGGGAGGGAGCGGGCGGCCAGCGAGCTCCCGCCCGCCAGCAAAAAACTGATAAGTGTGAACCAGCACAAAATAACTATGAATCCATGCTTTCTGCAGATTCATAGCCAGATTCTGAGCTACACAAATCAATGACAAGGTCCCAGTCATCACCAGACACCTCTGGCCACTCTGGCTCCTCTTTCACGAGAGCGAGAGGGGCGGGCGCCGCCGCCGGGTGGAGACCACCTGCTGCCAGCTGGCCCAACTGCTGCATCATCTGAGCTTGTTGCTGCTGCAGAAGATGCAGCTGCTGGCCAAGCTCTGCTGGCTCAGGTTGTGGAGGTGGCAGTGGTGCAAGGGCAGGCGCCGGCGCGCCCGTCAACAACGCCAACGGGTCCGCCGACGCTTGCCCTTGCTGCTGGAGTGCTCTCTGCCTATAGTGCTCCATCTGCACCTGAGATTGCCTCATCTGCTCTAGCTTGAATGTGGGATAGTAAGTTTTCATCCACTGGTACAGGCTGTTGCCCATAGACCAAGCCGCGGGCTCGTGGTCGGGCCCGACGCCGCCGCGCCGCATCCGATCAGTGATGAAAATGTGCCTGCTGAATTTGGGGCACAACCTCACCCACTCCTGCACATCAAACAGCCAGGATGACCAGCAGTGAGCTGGGGATGGCCAGCTGGGATTGACAGCACCAATAAATCCCTCCGCGTCGCGCCAGCGAGGCGCCAGCGAGGCGGCCCCCGGCAGCGACACCCACCTTGAACATTGTGGTGACAGAGCTGGATTGCAGGGGCACAGCCTGGTGGAATGTGCAAAAAGCTGTGGTGGTGCCCTGCAAAACACAGCAGCAGCTGGTGAGAAGGATGCACTCGCGCCGCTCGGCGCCGCGCTGGCGCCACGCGGGCGCGCGCACCTGCGCCGCCAAGAGGGGCCAGCACCATCTGAACCAGACATCACACCACAGGCCGCGGCTAAGAAAGGCCTTCTTTGAAGGCGCTGGAGCTAGTGTCTAAACCCTCCGAGAGGGCACAGGTTCGATTCCTCCCATGTCGAAACTTTGTGAGGACAAACGCGGCATAGCTGACCGGCTCAGCGCCAATCCAAGCCAATTCCTTCGGGAACGCCTAATAGAATCGCCAAGGCTTCGGCACAGGCCTCCCCGGGACCCATTCACTACTAGTGGGGGGTACTGCACTTGGCGCGTCGGGCAGATCAAATAATGGTCTAAAGCTAGACGTTAAAACCGGGAAGTGAAGCTTGTGGAGGCTCTTCCCCACCTTTACCTTTACCTTTACACCAGATGAACATGCTGGGTGGCATTGGATATGTGATGGGGGCTCTGTCCCTCACACTGCTGTTGTCAGAGGTCTTGTGGTGGGGGACCAACAGGATGTACTCGCGCCCATCCGCCGAGCGCCGAAAGCCGTTGCCGCGGCAGCCCACCACCTTGCAGCCACCAATTGGGCAGCTGGCTGGCCAGTGGTCTGGGTGGCACAGATTTGCAAACCATTCTGGCCTCCGGGGAGTCAGGTGCCCCATCCAGCAACAAAGCATGACTGCCTTGCCCCAGGCTTTCGCCGCCGACACGACGGCGGGGTGGTCTGGGTGGCTCTCCAGCAAACCAAGCTCTGGGAAGTGAAGTTGCATGCCAGAAGGAATGCCAGTGGCTGGGGAGGCCCCCACAATGCCAGGAAGGGCCTGCAAGGCAAGGGCAATCAATGCGGAGCTCGAGTCGCAACAACTGCGCAGCGCGCAACCCAGGCCTGTGCACTGGGTTTTTCACAGGGTTTTTCACAGGGCCCTGCACAGGGCTGGGCCAGGGCCAGGGCCCTGCACAGTGACAGCTGCTATGCATTGCAACACTTTGCAACACTCCAATGCTGCCAAGCTGCCCTGCCACACACATCAAGAGCACCTCGAGCGCACTGGCGGCAGCGACTGCCTGCGCAGCGACACCCAAGCAGGGCCCAGTGCCAGCTCACCTTGAATGTTGTGCATGCCTGCTCCTTCTGCTGCTCAATGAAAGCAATAATTTCTGGTGCATCCTTCCACTGAGCACCATCCATCAAAGCTTTGTAATCAAATGGCACATGATGGCTTATTTTTCTGAGCTGCCACTTCAGGGTGTTCAACATGTCCAGCTGCTCCTTGAATTGCTGATTCTCCAAAGCTGTGTAAGGCACTGGAGATGATGCCCTCAAGAAATGGAGATGCCTGAGTGCTGTGTGGCAGTTTTTGCTCAAGTAATCTCCACCTCTGCCTCTCGCCTTGAGAAAAGAAATGTATCTCAAGAAGCCAGTCACAAACTTGTCCCTGAAGACCCACAAACCCAGCCTCTCCCCCTCCTCCATGCAATGTGTATGGCAGAAGCCCAGAAAACCCAGAAAGCCCAGAAATGAGTGTGCTGTACAATATTATCCCAGGTCCTGCACCATTGGGCAAAGAGGCATTGATCACAAAATGTAGCTGCCATCCCACTTTTGAGCACACCCTGTTGGCATGCCCAGGTGTTACAGCCACCCCGCTATGATAGGCCGCGTGAGCAGACCTTGGGCAGGGGGCACACGTGATCAAGGGGCATCAAGAGAGGGGGTGGACCATGGAGCAACCTCTCCATGGCTCCGACCACCCTCCCCCCAGCTGCACATGTAAGGGTGCATGCATTGCAGGCAGGAGTGCAAAGTGGCCTGCCGCGGCGGTCGGCTGTGCCATTACTCAGTCAGCCGCCGCTACCGTGCCGGGCTTGGCGTTCCCATGCCAACATGCCGGCGTGCCATCGCGCAAGGGGCCAGTGAGTGTGTGAGGTGGAGGTGGGGGTGGTGGGG